TGACTTTTCTAACTTCTTAATCTCAATCCTCACACTACCTGGTATTTTGAGAGAAAACCCCGTCTGAAAATCACGATTTTCATCAAAAACCCACTTTTCGAAAAATCCTATTGGTCAAAAGGAAGCTTCTATCGAGCTGAAGTTTTTATGGAATATATAGTGCTATGCGATCTAGGTCGAGTGAAAATTTCAGACATCTATCATATTCTCGTCACGAGTTATGAAGCATCAAATTTGTCCAAAATATGAATTTTTTCTCATTTTGGACGAGTCATAAAAAATTAAGAGCTTTATATTTGACCTGAAACTTATATAGTGGCTATAACTCATGAAGATACATGCCCATAAAGAATCTGAGCTCGATCGGTCATTCTATTCTTGAGATATAGTCGTGCCAGGACTTCGCTTGGCGGAGATACTGACTTTTAGTGCTTTTCGTAAAACAGCCATAAAAATTCAACGGTTCAATATTTTTCAAAACGGCTTGCACCAAAGTTCATAAAACGCTTCGCTCTATCAAAGTTTCGTAGATTGAGCAAAATCTGAAGACCTCGTTTGAGCAGCTTCTCTAGGCATCGGTCGTGGCTTATATGAAATGGCTCATAAATATACATATCTGTTCTGTTCTGCTTGCGTACTAATATTCTTATTTCTGTTTTTCTTCTTATCCGATTCACATAGTTTTCTTATTTATGTATTGATAGTCTTAGTAATGACCTATCGGATAGGTTATAATTGTTCTCTTTCTTTTTCTGGAATAACCCCAGACAAGAAAATAATCTACGTCTTTTTTTCTGTCTATATGACGCAAAAAATGGAAAAGAATTCATCGTCATCGGTCGAACGGCTACGACTATAGGCTTTTTTCTTTTATTCTTTTTCTCTCTCCATTCTTTATTCAACTATAAAAATTGAGACGCTCGATAACGACATTCATTTTATTGAACGAAGTTCTGGCAAACGACCATTGATTTTCGTCCTAATTTTTCAATATTAATTTTATTCAAAATAGATACGGAAAATAAACAAAAATTTCTGCTTCATGTACAGTATTTACAAAAATTGATTTCGCGATGAAAGATCAGATGTACAAATGTATGGGAAGTACTTTGAGCATGTTCATCACATTCATACTCCATTGTGCTCTGAAAAATACAAGAGCAAGTGGCTTTTTAATGCAGTACATGTTAGCTGATCCTGTGCGTAATCATGCATTGGCTATATGTTCTTGGTGTTATTATGCGATATGTAAGTATTCAGGGATTATTGACTATTTATATCGTGCTATACTTTATTTAGCTGATCAATCGTGTCTCTTTTATCTTTCATACGATGGTAGACACAATACACTCGCTCTTTTCGTCATGTCATTTCTGTTTACGTTACTTCTCTGGTTGGTTCGGTTTGTTGGACAATTGCAGAATGTCATTGGTCTTTTGTTAATGACGAATATAACTAATTGACTTTTGGCTCGTTACTTCAACACTCTTAACATGTGCTATGAAATTGACATATTTACTGTCTTTTTCTTTGTTTGGCAATTTGTTTGTCTTATTTATAAGTGGCTTCATCAAGACCTACCGATTCTTTCTTTTACTCTTCATCAAAAAGTAACTTGTTTATTTTTAGCATTTATTACTAATGATCTTCTATTATCACTTATACCCACATATACTGCTTTTGCTTTTATTTGGCTATGATCTATTATAGACATGTAAGTCTGTATAAGTAGTTTTTATTTCTTTGATATTTAAACAATCTTTTCACCAAAAGATTGTAAACATTATTGGGAGCAATCATGTGAGAAATAGTTGATTGGTTAAGATCTAAAGACATTGACATACAAATATAGATTTTATAGATATTTATATTCTATACAAATGTTTATTTGTTATCATAATGTTTATATCACCGGAAATATTTTTTTTATTTGATCAACATGCTTGAGATTAATTACTTTCACATTAATTTTTTTAAAATCTTTAATCTAGAAGAAAAGTTTTTCTGTCAAAATACATTTTGTATGGTGAATTTATGAATAGTTTTTGGTATTCACATATGATAAGTGTACTATCTAACGACTAAATTAAGTCAATCAATCGGTAATCTAATTTATGTTGTTCAATAACAAATAAGACTTATCTGTTTGTTTCCTTTTTGTCTAAGGAATGCAAGAAAAAAAAACGATTGAAAACCTCATTTCAGAGCTTGTATAAATAAAATATTTCACTGTATACAATCTATCGAAAAACTATCGGTACAATATGAAAGTTTGAATGATTTGAGGATAAAAACATCAAATAATCTGATACCTTTATTGACACAAGCCTTCTTTGATTCTTTCATTCTGTAACAATCAATTTGATTGTTTGATTTGATAGATTATACCCAGGTCAAACAAACAGATCGCAAGATCTTGCTTGATCGTTCATCTGATCTTGTAAGATCAGATGAAATCGTACAAAAAATCGTGGTCTCAGAAATCCTAGATCAAGTCTTACTCTAACGTTAGTATCGAATTTGTTGGCCTGGGTATTGAAAAAAAGAAACAAATTATTATTCAACTTTGTTATATCATCTATATATTGATGTAGATCTACCCCCGATTCGATTCCGTTCGATGATTTCTCGCTTAAGTCTTTTCCAATTGATTCTTATTCAGATCCTAACAGTATCCATTAGAATGATTCGTAATTTTATTTAATATGGAAGAGAATGACTTATATAATAAATAAAAACCAAGAAAAATACAAAATTTATCGGTATTTGTGACAGACAGACAGGTTGGAAGTGTAATAAAAAACCTAATTTCTTTGCTTTCATTTCTTGATCAATTTCGTTTTTATGTCTTTGCCGCATTGAATTGACAATTGTAAATCAGTGAGCTTGCCATTAATAAGCTTACTGAGAGGAGCAGCAAGTTCGCTGTAATATCTTCACCCAACTTCTGCTGTCTGGGTACATAGGTTCTACTTTGGTCAGCGTGATAGTGCTGAAATAAACATTCATCTCGTAAGTGTTCAATAAATCTGAAAATATGTGGATGAACTGGAAATGGACCGAAATGAGAATCAATCGGAAGGAACCCAAATGAGGTATCATCAAATGGGACCCAATTTAGATGGAACCAAAATAAGATATCAGCGAATAGGACCGAAAAGGAAAGATACCGAAAATAGGAACTACCCATTGATGTGTTATAGATGTTTATTTATGAAAATGAAGTAAAACATTCTTGCATAGAAAAAGCAGATGATATTTACATGAAATGTTAGATGAAGGGTAGGATATTTCAATAGATGAGATAATACAGTTGGACAAGTACGTAAGTTATTACATGAAAGAAAGAAAGAAAGATATTGGAAAAATACACAAAAGAAAATATTTGTTAGAACAAAAGAAGAAATAGTTATGATAAAAAACATATGTGTAAAGAGAAAAAGAGAACAAAGATATATGGAGAATACGTTTAACATATTTTTGTCTGATAGTACATCTTTGGGTATAGGGATGTCAATTAGTGACAGGTCAGACTGAGTAACCGATTTAACAATAACCGGTAACCATTTTATTGACAATCAGCATGAACTAATACTCGCCAGTATTCACCGATGCTTACTAATCTGTAAATAAAAAATTCTGTAGTCTTTTAAGAGAATGAATACTCGTGAGTATCGGTCCATACCAACTATCGTTAAGCCGTTCAGTGTTCAACATCGGTATCTTTCCGGATCGGTGAATCAGTAAACTTAAATCAGTGAATGATTGTTATCGTTACATATCTATTTAGATACAGGTCATAACATATTTCAATTACCTACGATTGACATTAGTTACATAGCATGCTAAAAAATAATAAGAGTGATAAAACGCTGTCATCGAATGAGATATTTCTCTCCTTCTCGGAAAACTTGCTAATAAAGTGAAGTGTATTTGATAATCGTTCTGTTCGTTCTGAAGATTTTGAGAAGAATACTAAGAAAACTGTAATCTTTTGAATTTTATATTGTCTGAATGAATCCGTTCTTCTTATTTATATAAATAAGATTTTTGTACTTCATTTTTGTTTTTTTTTCAAAATAGTGTCGTATATTTGAATCAAAAATATGAGTTTAATCCAATAAGAAATGTCATTTGATTATCCAACGGCTCCAATCGGCGTTCATTGCGTGTATGATATTAATGAACCAAACAATGATGTAGAAGATGAGGACAAATGTTTTTCGGCTATTGGATGGGGTGATCTTTTGATTTTTAATCTTTTATTATTAATGGTTATACCAAGCAATTCTTCACTTACAATAAAAATATGCATAGCATTCGGTTGTATAGTTAGCATAGAATTTGCTGAAATATGTAATGGTTTTATACTTTACTGTATTGATTTTAATGGTTTGCCGGCTTTGCCTCTTCCAACAGCTGCTGTCACTGCTTATATGATCATCGTTAATGCCATCATTGAATATTCTAATGTTGATTGTATAAATTCGTTGAAATGTAGGACAAATATTCATTATGAATTTTGATATTTTCATAACTCATTGATGCAAGTAAAGCTTCACGATTTTATATCAAAAGAAAAATACTGAGTTTGTTGATTTTCAATGATTGTTATTGAATACATTCAGTTTTTCTGTTATTATAATATAATCGAGTTCTTGTGAATAATCTTCAGAGTTTTTGTCACTAAACAGAATAAAAATGATGTTATTGTTCGTGAATTGATTCTATTTAAAATGTAAAATTTTCTTCAAAGTATGATAGAAACGAGCGGCGGTATGGGTGTAGGTCGGTGCGTGTGGGTATGGGTAGAGTGGGTGTGGATATGAATTTACTTCTTATATTAAAACCCAAACCCAAACCCACACCCACATCCTCATCGTTTTTCATATCTCTTTAAATTTATAACTCGAGAACTGTCCAAGTTGACCGATAAGTTGCCATCTAACAATGTCCAAGAATACGAGAATATGAGGTTCGTTTATGTGTCGTGTGAAGAAAAGTAGTGATGAACATACAGTAAAACCTCTCTATAGTGGACACCCTTCGGATGTTTCAAAAGTGTCCACTATATGGAGGTGTCCACTATGAGGAGGCTAAGTGTTTTTCAAAGAACAATATCTTTTTTGAAGAAGTAGGCACGATTTTAGGCATCTGAGGTATTAGTGAATAAGATAATCGGATAGAGCAAGTTATTACTTCTGTTTTCATATATTTTAATTTTTGAAAATAGAAAAATTAACAATTGTCAAAATAGTCTTTGATAGAACTTTGTTTCGCCGCTTTCG